ATGGGGCCTGGGGGGAGGAAAAAGGAGAAAAAGAAAGGGAGGGAATAGAGGAAAATGGAGAAATTAAAGGGAAAACAAAGGGGGGAACTGAGGAAAAATTGAGGGGGAAAGAGAAATAAAGGGGAAAAGGGTAATAGAGGGGAAAAAAGGGAAAGGGGAATAGAGAAAAAAATGATAGAGGGGGAAATAAAGGGGTGAATTGATGGGGAAGTAGGGAAATAAAGGGAAAATGGAGGGAAAATAAATCAAGGGGGAAAGAAATAAAGGGAATAAAGGAAAAATAGGGAAAGAGGGGAAGAGAAAGGTGAATAGAGGGGAAGGAAATGGGGGAATAAAGGAAAAAGGAATAAATAAAGGGAACTGGAGGGGGAAATAAAGTGGGGAAATAGAGGGAAAAAATAAAGGGGAAAAGAAATAATGGAGATAATAGAGGGAAAGTTGATTAAAAAGGGGAATAGGGAATAGAGGGGGGAAAGAAATACAGAGGGGAAATAGAGGAAAATAAGGGGCGAAAATTGGAGAGAAAAAAAATGGGGGGAAGAGGAAAAGACAAATGGGAGAGGAAAAATTGGCGAAATAGAAGAGAAAACTGGGGAGTAGTGGGGGAAAAGAAATAAAGGGGTTGAGCAGGAAAAGGGAGAAATAGAGGACAAATGGAGAAATAAAGGGGAACTAGAGGAGAAAAAGTAAAGGGGAGAATAGGGGGAATAGAGGGGAAAATGAATAAAAAGGGGGAGGTAGGGGAGTTAAATCGAATAGAGGGGAAAATAGAGAAATAAAGAGGAAATAGAGGAAAAATAGACCAAGGGGGAAATAAGCAGAAAAAAAATAAAGGGGAAATAAAAGGAAAAGGTGAACTAAAGGGGGAAATAGAGAAGAAATAGAAGGGGGAAAGAAATAAAGGGGGAGTAGAGAAAAAAGGATAAATAAATGGAAAATAGAGTGGAAAATAAGGTAGGAAATAAGAGGAAAATAGGGAAAAGGAGAAATAAACGGGTACATAGAGAAAGGGAAAATAGAGGAGAAATAGAGGGGAAAAGAGAAATAAGGGGGAAATTGAGGAAAAATGGATAAATATGTGGAAAAATAGAGTGTAAAATAAATAAAGGGGGAAACAGAGGAAAACAGAGACACAAGGAGGGCAAATAAGGAAAAAAAAGAGAGGAGCGAAGCAGGAAATGAGGTGGGAAGAAATAAAGACAGAAATGGGCTCTGAGCGCGGGCGGCAGCTCGGGGACACCCCCGGGACACCCCCGGGACACCTCCGGGGACACCCCCGGGACACCCCCGGGACACCTCCGGGGACACCCCCGGGGACACCCCCGGGACACCCCCGGGGACACCCCCGGGACACCCCCGGGACACCTCCGGGGACACCCCCGGGGACACCCCCGGGACACCCCCGGGACACCCCCGGGACACCCCCGGGATGCTGCGGCGCGTCCCGGGCCGGGCCCGCGGGGTTTGGGGCGCTCGGGACCCCCCAGGCCCGGGCGGAGCGATGGAGAGGGCGCGCGGAGCCTCCCGGTACACCCAGCGGTCCCATGGTGTAATGGTTAGCACTCTGGACTTTGAATCCAGCGATCCGAGTTCAAATCTCGGTGGGACCTCGCTTTGTTTTGTTTTGGGGTTTTTTTTTCTTTTTTGGGGGGGATCCTTTTTTTCTCTTTTCTCCCTTCCCCGTGGCGCGGCGGGAGCGGTGCCTGAGGGGCGACGGGGGCGGCACCGGGAGCGCCGCTCCCGCACGGGCCCCGCCGCGCTCCATTTTGCTCCTGAGCGCCCGGCGCTTCCTTGCGCACTGCATTGCGCAGGAGCTCCGCAGTTTCCCGCCTCTGATTGGCTGCGTTGGCTGTCATTCAGGTAGACCCCGCGTTTCTATTGGTTGATGAGCGCTTCGCCCCGCCTCCCACCTCGGCAGCCAGGAGCCTTCTGGGGAGTTCGTGCCCTCCGTTTCCTATCGCTGATTGGCTAAGAGAGATGTCATTCTAGTAATTATGCGTTTGGGAGCGCGCCTCGCCCCGCCTCTCCCCCCAGCAGCCCTCTTGGTGGGTTCGAGCCTTCAGCGCGCTCTTGTTTTCCTATCGCTGATTGGCTGATACGGATGTCACTCTAGTAATCCTGTGTTTTTACTGGCTGAGAGCGCGCCTCACCCCGCCTCCCCTCAGCAGCTCGGAGCTTTTGTGGTGGGTTCGAGCCGTCACGGGGGGAGTCGCACTCTTCCTTTTTCATCTCTGGCTGAACGAGCTGTCACTCTCGCAATCCCGTGCTGCTATTGGCTGAGAGCGCGCTTCGCCCCGCCTCCCACTTCAGTCGCCCGTAGCTCTCATGACGGCTCGAGACCTCACGGGGTGGGGCTGTCGCACTTTTTTTATCGCTGATTGGCTGTGCGGGCTGTCACTCTGGCAATCCTGCGTTTCTATTGGCAGGGAGCGTGCTTCGTCCCGCCTTTCCCCCTCAGCACCCCCGAGCCCTCGTGGCTGGTTCGAGCCCTCAGGGCTCGTCGCGATCGCTCGTGGGCGCTGAGAGGCCCCTCCTGCTCGTCCTTTAAGCCGCTGCTGCTCCAGTAGCGTCCCGAATCCCTTCAGCAGCGGCTTAGCCGGCTCTGACGCAGGTTTCCAGCCGTTTAGCGTCGATTAACGGGTCAATCCCCTCCGGCCGCGGCCCCATTATCGCCCTGGATTAGGGGCAGCTCAGGCCCCGGTGGATCCGGCCACCTCAGGGCCGTGACAGGAAAGTGCCATTTTCGTACCTAAATAGACTGAAATTGTCTTGGAGCTGCGGTTGGGGGAAGCAGCACCCAAGGGTGCTCCCCAAGTTAATGATGCAGCACCCCAAATTTAGCTTCATCTTCCCCCTCGTGTTACTGCTGTCCTGCCAGCCCCTAAAAAACCCGACAGAAACATTAACTCCATCAACAAACAGGTTCTGCCACCCCTGAGAAAACCCCAAGGAAACCATCAAAAACCAGGATTCTGCCATCCCTTCCCACCCACCCCCCCCCAAAAAAATAAACCCATCAACTCCATCAAAAAACCAGGATTCTTCCACCTCTCCAAAAAAAAAATACCCAATAAACCCATGAACTCCATCAAAAAACAGAATTCTACCGCCCCCAAAAAAAAACCCCAACAAACCCATCAAAAAAATAGAATCTTGCCACCTCAAAAAAAAACGAAAAAAAAAAAAAAATCAAAAAATGTGATTTTTCCACCCCTCCAATACAAAGAAAAAAAAATAAAAATCAACAAACGTATCAAAATTCAGGATTCTTTCACACACACCCCCCAATAAAACCATCAACGCCATCTAAAAGCAGGATTCTACATCCCCAAAAAAAACTCAATAAAAATTGTCAAAACCCAGGATTCTGCCAGCCCCCCCCAAACTCAGTAAAACCATCAAAAAACAGGATTCTGCCACCCCCCAAAAAAACTCCAAGAGAACCATCAAATCCATCAAAACTCGGGATTCCACCCCGCTGCATCAGGGAAGTGGGGAGGATGGAGGTGGAATGCTGAGGGAAGAAGGAAATATCCAGGTTCTAAAGGAAAAAAAAAAAGCCATGGAAGATGGAGCATTAAAAAAACACGACTCATCAGTAACAACCCAACATTTGGGTCCCGATTTAAAGTGAAAAGAAAGCCCATAAATTCTCTTTGTAAAGAGTATTTCCTGCTCCTCGGTGCTGCAAGAAGAGGCAGAGGCTGTGCTCGAGCTGGAGGGTTTATTGAGCGTCTGCAGGAGAAAAACCCCACCTTGGTTTCGGTGGGGTTTTGGCTGGGGAGGGGCAGGGTGGGGCTGTTCTGGCTGCAGGGGAGAGGGGGGAACCCCCTGCCTGAGGAAAATCCGCTTCCTTGTGTCTGTTCTCTGCAGGGACCCCCCTTTGGGGTGGCTGAAGTGCTGAGGGACCCCCTGTGCCTCATTCCCAGCCCCAGAAGGCAGGAAAACGCTGCTCCCAGTGGGATCCAGAGGTATTTCCTCGCAAGAGAACCAGTCCCGGGTCCATCTCCACGCTCTCCTGGAGCCCCAGCAGCAGCTCCCACGTTCCAGCAGACCCACACCCTCCCAAACAGGCAGCAGTGACTCCTGCACCGTCAGCCCTTCCCAAGGAAGAGGAGTGGGAGAGGTTTGCTCCTCTGGCAGGAACGGTCGGCACGAAGCAGGAGCGGGATGGGGACGACCCTGGCAGGGACAGGAGCTGAGGGACTCGGACATTGAAAGAGCTGCTGCTTCTGTTCTGGGGTTGAGGGTCTGGGGAAGATTTGGAGAGTTTTCCCCAAAGATTAAATGTAGCTGTAATGGATTTAAAAAAAAACAAAAAAAACAAAAAAAAAACAAACCCAAACCAATCCCGAACAACAAATCCCACAAACCTTCCCCGCTGAAGGACTCAGCTGTGCCCCAGCGTTTTCCTGTCAAGCAGGGGGTGAAATTTGTCCTGTAAAAATTTGGGAGCAGGAGGATCCAGGCCTGGCATTGCTGTCTTAGGGCTGGAGAATCAATCCTGCCTTGCTCCAGGCGGTCCTGCCGGCTCCAAGCCAATCCCAGCTGCTGATGGGACACGGTGGGATGAGCCCCGGGAGCGGGGTGGAGGTGACACGGTGACACCGGGGCAGCGCTCGGAGCCCCCAGGGTCACAAACTGCCAGGGGGGTTTTCCAGAGGAGGAAGCGAGACTGGGAGGTGGAGGTGGCACCTCGCTCCTTCCCGTGCCCGATCCCCCAGGGATCTCCAGCCCCCGGCTCTCGATGGAAGGGGGCTGAGGGGGGGTGGGCACCGGCTGGGGGATCCTTAGGGATAAACAGGATAAAGCTGCAGACCCCTGGAAGCCTCGGTGCAGCGGGATGGGCTGAGGCAGCCGGGAGGCTCCTCTGGAGCCAGCGGGGCTCGGGGGGGGGTTGGAACCGTGTGAGAGCAGCCCCAGCTCGGTGGTTCCCTCTCCCCTTGCTCTGGAAATGCAGAAGTTGTGCTCGTGGGAAAGCAGAGCTCAGCTGTGGGAGCACGGACAGCGCTGAACCTCAGCCCCGGCGGCAGCGGGGGGGTGAGGGGGGAGGGGTTTTTGGGGGTTTTTTGTCTCTTTTTTTATCTTCTTTTTTTTCCTCTTGCTGTCCTTTAGCTGCACTACACTGTGGTTCTGGGCTCCTCCTCGGTGCCGAGGGCGGACTACGGGGAAAGCAGGTTTCTGACAGTCCTGGGTGGCACACGGGAACATCCCCGTGCCCGGCGGTGCCAGCGGGGCCGGGGGGGGTCAGCTTATTATACAGCCTCCCTTCTCCTTGAAGGGGTTCTTGTCCTCGGGGACCCCTTTCAGCAGCGGGTCCTCGCCCGCCATGGACTCGATGTACTCCTTGAGCTCTTTGCCGGTCTTGGAGACCTGCCAGGGAAGGAGATGTTCCATGTCTGGGATGGGATGGGATGGGATCCTCCCTGCAGAGCCACCCACGGACCCAAAGGGGACTGTGGCCAGGAATGTCCCACCCGGCACGGGGTGTCCCCAGAAGGATTCCCAGGGTGGTATGGACACCTTGTGAGGTGGGAGAAGGGGACCATGGCCAAACATCCCACAAAATGTGAGTGTCCCAAAAGCATCCCCAGGGTGCACTTGCCAGGTGCAGTGGGAGAAGGGAATTATGGCCAAGGACACCCCACACAATGTGAGAGTGTCCCAGGAGCACTCCCAGGGTGTTGTGGACACCTTGCCAGGTGTGGGGTAGGATCTGGGATGTGGGGCTAAGAGGGAATGTTCTCCTGGAGGGGAGAGGTGGAGTGCAGGTGCTTCTGCTGTGTTTGGGGGTTAATTTTAGGGCTTGTGGTCCTTTTCCTTTGCAGCAGGAAAGGAAGTCACCAGCAGGTCAGAGCATTTTGGGTGGGAAACTCACCATTTGCCTCTCGTTCTTCACCTCCTTCTTCAGCTGATCCAGCTCCATCTTCAGCAGCTCCTTCTCTGTCATGTCCTGAGCCATTTTGCCCTGGAACTGCAGGGAAATGGCTCGTTATTGGGATTATTGCTTTGTCCCCACAGTATTGCAAACCCCCCAGTGTCCCACTGCAAAAGGAAACCGAGGCAGGGGCCACCTCTCAATCCCCTTCCTGCCACATCTGCTGTTCCCAGATTTTCCTTTGCTCCTTCCCAGCAGGCACGTGGAGCGAGAGATGCAGCCTGAGGGCAGGGGAGGAGGATCCAGCCTGGTTTTTAAGGAGTTCTTTGCCACTACAGAGACTGTTTCCCCAAGAAACTGGGTGGAGGAGAGAGTGAGCCTGGATGGTCCTGGAGAGGAACCTCTGCCTTGGGGCTGTGGGAGAACCTGGATGCCCAGGTCTGCCAGCTGCACCGGATGGGTGTCCCGTGCCCGGGCAACAACATCTTTGGGGGTTTCCTAAGGAACTAAATGGATTTCACTTTTTGTTTCCTCCCTGTGCCTTTCCCCCAGGGATCTATAACCTGGGTTGTGGCTCCTTCATTGCTCTGAACTTGGCTGTTTTTATGCACTTGCTGCCACTGCAAGTTTTTGGGGGTTGTGTGAGTTGGAGAAGCCCAACCCTTTTCCCACAAAAGCCCCTCCAGGGGTTATGTGAGACACCCCCAGAGCTGACCTGCACTGTGAGATCTATTTTCATGTCCAAACTTGGGTTTTAAAGCCTGGGCAGAACCTTTTCAATCAACACAGAGGAGCTGAAGCTGAGCTGTGCCCTGGCCCTGCTCGGAAGGTGTCGAGCCCGAGCGTTGCTGTGCGGCCGCTCCCGTGGCAAGTGCCCCCCGTGTCCCTCTTCCCACCCATCCCTCGGGACACAACCAGCCCTGGGAGCTGCACCAGGAGCCCAGAGTGGCACAGCCCCCGGGGAAAGTGGCTCCCAAAGCGGGTGGGACCCACCTGGAGCAGCAAAGGCACTTACCTGGGGGGGCAGGGGGGCTGCCCCGCGGCGCGGTGGAGACGCTCAGAGCCCCATCCGAGGGGAGATGCTGCTCTCCTGCTCGGAGCTGGAAGACTCCTCCAGCTCTCTGGGAGGGCAGTGGGAAGCAGATGTCTTTGGCCCTTAAGCTGATAATGGACTCAGGAGAATAAGCTGGTCAGGTGTTGGGAATTAGCCTCAAAGTCCAGGGTAAGCAGCGGGGCTGTGGGGAGGGTGAGGATGGGCAGGAAGGGTGGGTGGGTGACTGGGACACCCGGGAAGTCCTTGAGTCCCTGCCATGGGTGTCTGAGCCTGTGGAGTGTCCAGATCCTGATTTGGGGTGGCAGGACTGACCCCTGGGGGGATCAGGGCAGCTTCCACCCAGTTTAGGAGGGGAACTGGGGCAAGGGGGCTGCCACGGCCTCGTCGGGGCCGGGACCAGCTTGGGAGGCTCTTGGTCCTTCAGGGTGTGAGGAGCTGGGCCGGTGCCGGAGGAAATCCATCATTTCCCTCGTCCTTGTGCCGGAGGAGCCGCAGGCTCAGGAAGGGCCAGGCCCTAACGAGAGGTGTCTCTCCTGCCTGGCTGGTGCAGAGTCACTGGGGCTGAGGATGGGCCCGGGCGGCCCCAAGGAAGCACCTGCGGGTGGAGGAGGAGGAGGAGCCCGAGAGGCCCCAAGGAAGGATCTGTGGGGTGGAGGAGGAGGAGCCCAAGAGGCCCCAAGAAAGGACCTGTGGGGTGGAGGAGAGGGTGGAGGGGGATTTCCAAGCACGGGGAAGTGGGAATTTCCTGCAGCCTCACCCCATGGGGATGTGAAACGTCCTCAGCAGAGCACTGAGCAGGACACGCTGTCCTGGGCAGGGAAAGGACGGGCGCCTCGTGGGGTCACTTGGCACATCCCGCTGTGCCCCGGGTGCAGCCAGGCCCGGGTGACCTGTGTGGGATGCACAGGGGCTTTTCCAGGGAGGGGGACCTGGCAGTGGAATCGCTGCCCTTGGCTGGCCCCCGCGCCTGGCCCATAAAGGCGAGGGGAAGGAAATGTTCCCGATGTGCCTTGGATCCCTGGATGTGCTCGTGCCTGGCTCAGCCCCAGCCAGGAGGGCAGCAGTGGCTCGAGGACGGCGGGCACAGGTTGCAGAGATGGGGGTTGGGATCATTTTGGGGATCATTTTGGGTCACTCCCCCCACCCTGCAGGTTCCCCCCGTGACTCACATCCTTCCCCACTCCCACCCCCTGCCCCGGGCAGGGCAGCCCCCCAGGCGCGTCCCTCGTGGGGCCGGAGCCACGCCGGCTTCCTTCCCCCCCCGGCGGGTGTCCCTCGGGGGGACGGGGACACGGCGGCGCCCGCGGGCCCTGCGTCAGCACCGCCGGCAGCTCCCAAAAGCGGCGGCGGGGCGGCCGCGGGGGAAGTGCGAGCGCAGCCCGGCAGCGATGTCGGAGCTGGAGCGGCTGCGGCAGCGGGACATCCCCGCGGGCCGGCAGGGCCTGCGGGAGCAGCACGGCAACCTGCACAGGGTGGCCGAGTATTGCGAGAGCAACTACCTGCAGGTGGGGGCACGGGGGGCCCGGCCCGGGACGAGCCGCGGGCCGGGGCTGCGGGGATGCTGCGACCACCGGGAGCCCCGGGGCGGTGGGATGGGGGTCCCGGAGGGGGGGTGGAGGGTGGTGGTGAGAGCTGTGCCCTCAGAGCCGGGACCCTCCACTCAGGAGCCTCCACTCACCAGTTCAGGCTTCCACCCGAGCATCTCCTGCCTCGGGCTCGTTTCCCCCTGCCTCAGTTTCCCCTCTTGCTCCACAGCTGCTCTCGCGGTGGGTTTGGGATGAAGGGAGAGTTCCCCAGGGGTTTGGTGCCTCTGGGAGAGGACCAGGGACACCGGGCTGTCCCCAGGGTGTCCGAGGTGTCTCCTGGAGGGCAGAGCTGGGTGCCTGCAGAGAAAGAGTGAAGCTGAAGCTCTGCTGCCATCCTCCTCCTCCTCCTCCTCCTCCTCCTCGTCCTCCCTGCCCGGCCCTCCCTGAGGGAAGGGGGACAGGAGCTTTTGGGATGAAATAGGGATAAAAAGGCTTCTTCTGGTCCTCTTTGCTGCGGGAGGGAGGGGTGTCTCTGCTGGAGGGATCTTTGCCAAACCTGGCTGTGGCCTTGCTGGCTCGAGCCAGACCCCGAGGCTGCTCCCAGGGGGCTGGAGCCACCGGAGCAGAACTGAAGGGGAAATGTGAGGAACTGTTTAGAGAACTGAGAGACCGTCCCCGGCACAGCTGGGGCCCGGCCAGGTGTCCCACGTGTGGCCTCCTGGTGGCATGGCCAGCTGTCCCCAGGGGTGGCGGGAGGCTGAGCCGGGCACTCGGCTCCAGCACCTGCCAAAAACATCCCGGGGAGGATTCCCAGTGGATCCCCAGTGCCGGGATCCACCCCCCTGCCGCGTGTCCGTGTGTCCGGCCGGTGGAGCCGGAGGAAGTTTGATGCATTTGGAAAGCAGAAGAGGCATCTCTGCCAACGTGTGACTCCAGCGTGGAGGGTGGCAGTGCCATGTGGGGTGGGCTCCAGGCTGGTTTCCCCCCCTCCAGGCTGGTTTCCCCCCTCCAGGCTGGTTTCCCCCCCTCCAGGCTGGTTTCCCCCCCCTCCAGGCTGGTTTCCCCCCTCCAGGCTGGTTTCCCCCCCTCCAGGCTGGTTTCCCCCCTCCAGGCTGGTTTCCTCCCTTCCAGGCCAGCGACAAGCGGAAGGCGCTGGAGGAGACGATGGCCCTGAGCACCCAGTCCCTGGCCAGTGTCACCTACCAGGTCAGCAGCCTGGCCACCGCCTTCCTGAGGCTGCTGGACCTGCAGGCGGCCCAGCTGCGCCAGGTGGAGGCCGATGTCACCTGCGTGGCCCAGGTGGGACCGTCCCCCCGCGAGGGCTTTGGGGTGGGCTCTGGGAAGGGGGGTCCGGGCAGCTCCCGGGGGTTGAAGCCCCGCTGGCCCTGCAGGGCTCGGGCTCAGTCCTGGTCCTCCGGGGCATCCCCTCCCTTCCAGGCAGGGACACGGGCTGGGAAGGGTGCTGGGACTCGGAGGGGGCAGCGGGGGGTGGGAGAGGCCGGGGTGGACGGTGGGCACGGCGTCACCTCCGCAGAGGGTGGACATCCACAAGGAGAAGGTGTCCCGCCGGGAGATCGGCTCGCTGACCGTCACCAAGAGGTTCCCGCCCTACCAGAAGATCGTGGCCCCCCCCAGCCCCCCCAGCCTGGAGCCCTACTACAGGAAACCCCTCAACTTCAGCGTCCTGGACGACATCGGCCACGGCATAAAGGTCAGCTGGGGCAGGAGGGGGGCAGGGGGGTCCCACAGGGCTGGGGGGAGGACTCGGGTGGGGGGCCCTGATGTCCCCAGCGCTGCACTGACGGGGGCAAGGGTGGGCTCAGAGCCCTCCTTGGGGAAGAACTGGGGTCTGGCCATGCCCTGCAGCCCCCCTGGGGACTCATCCTGCTGGGACTCAGTGCTCCCAGCCTGGGGAGGGGACACAGGCCATGCACGAGGGACACACTGGGGCACACAGAGGGACACACTGGGGCACACAGAGGGACACACTGGGGCACACAGAGGGACCCTGGGGCACACAGAGGGACCCTGGGGCACACAGAGGGACACACTGGGGCACACAGAGGGACCCTGGGGCACACAGAGGGACACACTGGGGCACACAGAGGGACACACTGGGGCACACAGAGGGACACACTGGGGCACACAGTGCTCAGCAAAGCCCACCTGGGGACAGTCCTTTCCCAACCCAGGAGGGGGTTTGGAGCCCTCCAACCCCCACGGAGCCTTCCCCAGCCCCGGAAGGCGCCCACGGGAGGCTGTTCAGAGGCCTCTGAGGCACGAAGGGAAGTGGTGACACCGGGCCCGCCGTTCCCACGGTGGCTGGTGCCGCGGGGCCGCCCCCGCAGTGCCGGCTCCTTCAGCGGGGCCGCTCCCACGGGGGGCCAGCAGGGACCTGGGGGGGCCAGCAGGGACCTGGGGGGGCTGCCATCCCCCGTCACATCTCCTCGTGTCCCCTGCCCACAGGACCTCAGCACGCAGCTCTCCCGCACCGGCACCCTGGCTCGGAAGGGCACCAAGTCCTCGGCGCAGGCCGTGGGCACCCTGGGGTGAGGATGGGTGTGGGACTGGGGGGTGGGCTCGGCCTGCCCGTGTCCCCCGAGCGGTGTGGCACAGCCAGGACCCCCGTGCCGAGCTGCCAGCCGGACGCTGTGCCCGCAGGAGGAGCGCCCGCGTGCCCGAGCCCGTCCAGCCGCCCGTGGTGCCCGAGGGGAAGCTCTCGGCAGCCTCCTCCACCTCCTCGCTGGCCTCCGTCAGGTACCGGCGCTCTCGGAGTGCCTGGGAAGAGCTGGGAGCTCGGGAGAGCCCCGGGGCAGCCCCTTGTCCTGCTGCTGCTGCTGGGGGAGGCTCTGCCTCGAGGTGGAAGATCGGGGGCTTGGGAGATTCGCTCCCCCTGGCAGGGCTTTGTCTCTAGGGCGAAAATGCCCTCTCCTGGAGAGGGTCCCTGCCGGGGAAACTGAGGCACGGGGTGGGTGGGGAAAGGGTTTGCACCCACAGCCAGGGGCGCCTTGCCCTGGCCTGGGGTGAAGTGTCTGTGCCCAGAGTGGGGGGCAGAGCCGGCTCCCCACCCTCCCCCCGCTGTTCCTCCGTCCCCAGCTCCAGTGGGACCCCGGCAGCTCCTGCTGAAGGAATCCCGGCCCCGCCACCACTGCCCTCCCTGCCGGGACCACCCGCTCCGGGACCACCCCCACCAGGGCCGCCCCCCCTCCCTGGCGCTGCCATCCCCCCGCCGCCCCCTCTCCCCGGGGCTCTGCTCCCGCCGCCCCCCCCCGAGGACTCGGCCGTGCTCCCCCCGGACCTGCCGCCCCCAGGTGAGTGCTCGGGGCTCAGGGGGCTCAGGGGGGCTGCGTGTGACCCCTGCCCCCCCCGAGCCCTTCACCCCTCGACCCTCTGGGGGGTTTTGCAGCCCCCGAGGACCTGGAGCCGCTGCCCCCCCCATCGGCTCTGCCCGACTTGGAGGACTTGGCCCCGCCACCGCCACCCCCCCCCTCAGAGGAGCCTTCCTGGGTCC